ACTGACATATAAAAATATGAAGAGCAAGAATAGAGAATTCATACGCTTCATTCTCATAAGCTTCATTAAAGCTTATGACATGTCACAATTACGTCATTCATTCTCTTTATTCGTAAAAAGAACCTACTGATATCTGTCAGCTGGAAGGATATGCATTCTTCCTGTTACGCGTAATGCAATTAATCATGTCGAGTTTGAATTATATTATATAGCAGAGATCTAATTCTCTCATTAGTCGCCCACTAATTGCTAATCGTAACGCGGAGTTAATCAGGAATAAATTCGCGTCGCAGCAGCTTCCTTCCGGAAATTTAATCGATGAAAGTTGCGAACGAATTATTCTAACTACTTCCTGGTATGAATATACATGATTGAGAGGAACATTTTCCAGAGATCGGTGTCTATATTATACGCATATCCGGATATATATGCAGCGCATTTTGTACATGTACCTATTTGTATAAATAAAATCAAGAACGCGACCGGCCGCCGCGTCAATATTTTATTTTATTTCTCTCGAAACTGACAAGTCACCTTCACCGTGAAAGGGACCAGTTGCTAATTCCGTTCTTGACGTAGTACGCGCGCTTTTACCGCTATTATATTTAGCCTCTATTAGCTTAACCGCAGTTGCTATTACAAATATATATGATATATGTATATTATATTTAGTAAGATTTCTCGGCGCGCGAATTCGCCCGTATAACGACTTCCTCCGGCTTTTTTTTCCGCAAAACGTATCGATAGAACGGTGCGCGTTACGAGACCGTCGCTAATCATAGATCGGTAATTGGCTCTCTCCCGCTTGCATGATTGATCCCACGCGCGGCGCAAGCGACTGCGAGGTTCTTTTATTCTCCAAAAGCCCACGATTCCGGCCGAGTAAAATGGTTACAGCTTATTATTAATCGTTTCCCGCCATCAAATTGTACTCGGCGTAAAATTGAGTGATTACTGGTCTTGATGGCAACGATTTCTATATCAGCTGTAGCGTATAATTATTTTGCTACGCGACGTAATATATCAAGGATTTTATTTCTCTTAATTAGATTTTATATAAAATATTTTATCTTTCTTTTTTTTCTTGGTATGTTAAGCACACAACTTTTAAGTTAAGTATTCACTTATCAGCATAGTAGCACTTAGTAATTATTTTTTTAGTCTATTAATTAATATATGTTTATATAATAATTTATATCTCCATATCTTCATGCAAGGAAAAATATCGTTGCTCGGTAACTTGCCGTTCGTTCGGACTTTCGAAAAACGTCGCGGAAGTGATCGAAAGATCTCGGGGACTCGCGTAAAGAGCGGGACGTATGTTTATTAAGCGCGGCAAAACGCGGATCTTGCAACGATTCTTCCTTTCTCCGGACGGCTTCGGGGCCTCACTTAGACAAGGCGTGGTGCTTAGACTCGCCGTGGTCGATTGCCTCCCAACTGGATCGAGGGATCGAATGTGTCTGTGCCTCTCACTGTGTATATATGACTATGGAGGCATGCCACAACGTTGATTACAGAGCCCTAACACGGCGTCACGATTTTCCTCTAACCCGGACCAGATGGCAGAGTCATTAGCCTGTACACGCTTTCGTAGTGGCCCGGACGGACGGGTTAGGTTTGTGCGCGCGTTTCGTAGATAATGACGACGTTGCGACGTCTCCGACATCGTCGATTTCGTCGATTTCGTCGGACTGCGTGCGGACCCGCACGGCTCTTCGATAATCGCGAATCAGCTTACCCGACCGACCTTTCCAATTTTCAGAGAACGCTTAGAAAAGCGTAACCGATTTCGTTTGATTCTAATCGCCAGTTAGACAGAGAGACCGAGCAGTTTATTCCAATGTATGAAAGATGTAGTGTGTGCTCCTCTTTAGCACCAAAAATAAAATATTTTATATAAACTCTAATTCCTTCATACGTTACGTCGGAAGAAAATAATTACACGCCACACAGCTGATCGTTATACCATCAAAACCCGTAATCACTCGGTTTTACGTACAATGTACAATGATCGAGAAAAAAATCATACAAGAATCTAGACTAGGAAAAACTTTGAAGACAGTTGAAAAAATTTGAAAGCGATAGCGTTCGCTTCGGCGATCGTAATGACAGCTAGTTACGAGTTTTACCACTACTCGCGAGAAATTATACGTATCGATTCTCGCGTGTTTTCTCTCGCGACACTCTGATTAGCGGGTGAACGAAAATGAGAATGTGACAAGATAGAATTGCATCTCCGAATAGCTAATCAACTCGTTATAATTCCTACGTTTCGCGATCGAATTCGCGTCGATTGCGTCGCCGAATATAATCAGTTATGAGAGACAACTTTCGCGTATATTCCTCAAGCGATATGTGCTTGCGACATCGTCTCGTCGGCCCATTTATCACGTATGCGCCGAATTCGGTCCGGTGTTTCGTCAGTTGAACGCCACGTCAAGGAAAGGTGCCGGTATTTTATCACGGGGTCGCTTCGGCTGAAAATTAATCGGCGCACGCCCAAGAGAGCACGCAGCAGCGTACCGTATCACATTCGAAAGTACCAGGACGACGTGCCTTCCTCGTCTCAAGGACGATGTGCCAATTCGCGCTCGATCGTCGAATATTCTCGATCGGGTCATCGCAAAATCAAGCGAATCGATCCTATCGGTATTCAACCGGAGTCGTTTCGTGGAGCGAAACATTATCGAGCGAGGATCTAACATCGACTGCTTAACATGTATATACATAAGTTATTTTCTTCGTTATGATTTATAAAAATGCTCGACAATAAAAGGAGAGATCGATTTGTGGCGACGATAAAAATTCTACGGCAAAATACTAATTATGCGCGCATTATTAATAACGTTAATTGAAAGTTGGAGATGTAAATCTGTATAATGCCTGGGAACCTAAAAGGCTCATTAATTTTCCACGCATCATATCACGTATAGATGCATTAGATCCGTGTCCCTGGCTCTTTCAGTTGATCCGACATCTCCGATATTATTATATTAAATTTAATATACAATTATATTATATAATATATCACATAATTATAAATATTCTTTGATAATTCAAAGAATGTGGCAATTATATTAAAGAGAATATAAGAGAGTTTTTCTTCGCGTATTTATAAAGGTACTCGGAGAAGAGCGATTAAGAGAGCCCCACGACGTTTCCTGTAGGTCATCGTTAGGTGTGGTACCGCCTGTCTTTTGTGCGCGTTTTGCTCTCGGCTTGGTTCAAGGAGATCCAGAAGCGGTTGGTACGGCGGCGCGGCGAAACATGCGCGCCGAGTTACGACGCTCTGAATCTAAATCTCTTTCTCTCTCACGGTAGGCACGCCAAGCAAGCCTGCCTCGCCCCGTATTCGGGTCAGCCGAGAAGTAGAAATTACGTAACACGTGTGCGCCAAGGCGGTTCCCACCGAGAACCTTTCCTTACCGGAAGTCGAGACCACGTTTTGTCAGCTGTAAGGACTCTCGCGGTCAGCCTTGCGAGAAAAACGCGTGAGCGTACCGATCGTACGTAGGATACGAAGAGTGTCGGAGAAATGTCGAGAGAGATTGTTTGAATAATTAATCGGCGATAACGAGTTTGTGCACGCGGAGAAACGATAAGAAAATTGTCCCTTATATAAGGAAGTGTCTCATACTTTCTTGATTAATTTGGAAAAGATATAAATATTTATATCGCCCTTTTTCACTAAATTATATAGTATATTATTAATATAAAACAATATAATATTTTAGTCATATAAAATTTGACGAGCAAAACAGCGTTCTATTTTTCAATAAAATGTTTGCATGACCGATAAAAATTATATCGATATATTATTAATACAAAACATTATAATATATATTTTAATCATATAAAATTTGACCAGAAAAACAGGTTTTATTTTTCAATCAAATATTTGCGTGTCAGATTCGATCGATAAAAATGATATTGGCCATTAATTTCGCCGAGAGGTATCTGAAATATTCATGTCAACAAAATTCAGGTTCGGGACGACATTTCTCGTAAGTTTATGAAGCTGGAGTGAAATTCAGATGTAATCTAGCTGGGCTCCACCTTGTCGCGGCTGCCGTAAACCATTCGTGCTCGCGTTTAACAGCCGCGAAGCCGAGCGTTCGGTCGCGATAAGGATATTTCGCCGCGTTCACCGATCCGAGGAGAGAACTCGTTCTCTCCTCAGCTCCATCTTCTCGCTTCCTACAAGCGAGTATCTCTCCGTGATGCAGATCCGGCTTCGTGCCTGGAAAGCCAGACTAACCGGGGCTGGCCAACTCCACCATCTATATTCCGCCTCTAGGTCCGGCAATTCTCCGATTACGTGTCTCTATCGCGTGACACGATAAAACTACTTCCCTCTTGGTCGCGAGTAAAGAATCGCGTCGGCACGCGAGAGTAATATATAGAGCGTCTGACATGTATCGTCCATTTCTACTTAACGCCGCCGTTTCCATTGTTTCTATTCATTCGATGCACACGAATGCCGGTATTAAATGTCAGAATTCCTTCTCTCGATTCCTTCATTATCTCACACAGACACGCATACCTTGCAAATTTATTTTCTCTCGTTAAAAAAGTTACATTATACATGAATATATGTTAATTACATGTCATTAAAGAAGATTGAAATATGTAACTCTGTCTTCTCTTTTAACGATTAAACTGATGATAGAATACAATGTCAGAAAAATTTTTGCGAAAGAAATTGGAAAGTTTTCGAAAGCGGATACGCACATTGATTTTTTACGTATTGATCCTACTAATCTATTTTTTAACAGAATAAACACAAAAGTATACAAATCGTGATTTTCACCGAAATCGTTCATCTCCGCTTCTAGTTTTCACTTCGCGAAATTTCTTTAAAAACTTGGATCCGGCGTCGACCTCACTTTCTTTCGTGCCCAACACGCGTAACGTCGTATCAACATGTTAATGATCACATTCCTTCTCTCGCGTTCACAACCTGTTTCTACTATAATTGATCCTTTTCTATTTGCCAGGTAATCGCGGCGTGTTTGCTCGCGACGGAAGCGCGGCGAGTGCAGATCCGACCCCGAACGGATACTCAAGCGACCTATTACGAGGAACAGCAGCAGGACAACCAGGCGGCCGAGGACGATTTCGAAAACGTGGCGATCTATCAACCGCGTACTCGCGCGCTTGCCTCGCCACGTTCCAAGGACGCGTTGCACGCGTCGAAGCCGCCGCCGGTACAGACCATCAGGAACTACAACAAGGTCAATGACGACGGGTCCTTCACCTTCGGCTACGAGGCGGCCGACGGTTCCTTCAAGGAGGAGACTCGCGGCGCCGACTGCGTCGTACGCGGAAAGTACGGCTACATCGATCCGGACGGCAACAAGAGGGAGTTCAGCTACGTTTCGGGCAATCCCTGCGACCCGAACGCGCCCAAGGACGAGGAGGAAGAGCTGCCGGAGAAGGAGGACGAAGATCTCCCCGGACCGGCGAATTATCCCGTCGTCAGACCCGTGCAACGACCGGTTCCGGTGAGACCGACGTATCATCAGCCGGCGACCACTCGCGCGCCGACCACGATATTCCAGACGGAATATCAGCTGGACGACGACGCGAGCCAGGAACTGACCGAGGAGGACGTGAAGCCGCAACTGCGACCTTCGGCCTTCAGGAGACCGAGCACTCTGGTGCAAATTACCCCATCCACCTCCATTTACGAGTCCTCGCCGTCTCCTAGTCCCCAATCCTTCTATAGACTAGCCTCCACCCCAGCGGCGCAATATCAGACTACCCCATCGCCGATTCTTCGCGGCCAGTCCACGGTCGCCTCCAGCGTCTATCAGTCTCTCGAGCCGACCACTCGTCGACCGGTAACCCGTCGGCCCCAGTCGGTCGCGATCACTCCGCGACCCCACGTCGCCCAGGTGGCAGCGCAATACGTCTCCCCCAGCAGCACCGAGCGTCCCAACAGTCTGCTCTACACCCAGACTCACCCCACGGTATCGCCTCTACGTACCACGACTGCCGCTAGCACGCCCCATCATCTCGACTTCGCCGCCGAACTCGAGCGTTACGTGAACACGATCGGCTCGCACGTTTCCGCCAGCCCGACCGCGAGGCCGCAAACCTCCTCGCCCCAGACCTCCTCGAGAGTTAAGTTGACCGGTCAGACGTCGGTCGCCGCAACAACCGCAAGCTCCGCCGATCCCATCTACCAGTCGGAGCTCGTGTACGATCCCTCGACCGGTCAGTACAATACCCAGCTTTATCAAACACTGCCCCAAACCGTGGGTGACTTTAGTCTCAGTCACAAACTCCAACCGTTCGTAGCCCATCCGTCCCAGTCCCTAGTCGGTCTGCAACAGTACGGCCAGCAGCCTCAGCGACAGAGCCCGGTCTACAAGCAAGCCCAGTCGGCTCCAACCCCGGCGGTTACGCAGCCCCAGGAGGTGCTCTACAGGAGGCAGCAGGCGCAACTGTTGCAGCAGTCCCAGCAGCTCTACGCGCAGCAGCAACGCCGCCAGCAGCAGCAGCAGCAGCAGCAACAGCAGCAGCAGCAGCAGCTCCAGCATCCGCACAGACTGCAATTGTTGGAATCGCAGAGGGATCCCCAGGCATTCTACTACGTGGCGCCTTTGAAAGCCTCCGCCAGCACCGCGTCTCTTTCAGTAGGTCAGATCGATCAGTTTCTCCGAGGTAGCAACGCTAATAACTATTGATACGATCTGAATCGCAGCGTTAAGAATTAACTCTCGGATAATTCTCGAATCGTCGCTATTTATCATTCGATATTATCTCGAGAGCCTCTCGCGAGCTAAACCGCCGAGGATCTCGGAGCTCTGGTAGATCGTAAATGTTGGCCCATGCGTATAAAGGGTATTTTATAAGTATATGCAATATATTATACATAATATATATATTATATATCGTGTGGCGGCGCTGAAGTTAATATATATGAAGTATATTGCCGAGTGAATGGCATACGAACGAGCGCTTTGATGCATGCGTTGTACGCGGAGAATGCGTGTGCAATATATTTGATATAATCGGCGCTCCGCGAGAAAGGCGCGCGAAAATAGTTACGGTGAAAAGTGTTGCGACGTCGCGGATTTATAAAACGTCACCATCAACGGCTCCATCGATCGCAGGGAAATTTTCCCCGTCGTTGAATTTTCCGTGAAACTCATTATACCGTGTACACAAGTTTACTATTACAAACAATCATTCCGTGACTCTCTCGCGAGAAACTTCCGGGGATTTTCCGAAATTACTTTATTCTCTTGGCAGCGCTTTTCCATACTTTGATAATCGTGTGTAATGTATATATAATATAGAGTATCCGTTTTTCGCTTTTTTCCGTTCAACGCGTGTCTCGAAGCGTTCATAACGATAGATAATAATATTTTATTCGTCGACGATATGCAATCGGAGAACGAAAGTTAAAGAGATTAACGTATGTGATACACTGGATGGAGGAGCCGCGCGCGATTTCATGGATGAGGGTCGGTGACAAAATTTGACATCTTTCTCACTTTATCGAATGTTTTCCTTAAATGATCTTGTCGTAGATCCGCAGTAATGTCTTTTCGGTCGACGACTCGTCGAAATAATTTCGTTTTCGTGGAAAAAAAATGGTGAAACTTTATTTATTCGCTCATCTCGTCGATAGTTAGAGCGAAACGAGATTTCTTCCGTTTCTCAAGCCGATTTGCACTTCTCAGTCAGTCTGTAGTATCGTGTAATGTTTACGAGGCACGTTAGAGAAAGAGTGAAAGCCAACGACCTGACGCAATACTCACACACGCATGTACGATGTATTACCGTGGCAATTTCTCGCGGGTCCCTAACACCGTGTATATATATATATACACTATCGTAAAGGTCCATGTGGTTTCGCGATAGAAAACGAAACATCTCGTCGCGCGGACCTTTTTTAAACACAATCCCGTAAGCCCAAACGGCGTAATAATGTCCGACTCGATTACAAAATATCGATCTCTAATGCAGCATCGAGTCGAATGAAACGCGATCAAACGAAAGGGGATAATGAGTCGAAATCAAATCCATTCGCGCAATATTTCGAGGCATTTTCAATTAAACGTGCAATGCTGAGCCGTTGTACTCTTGTGTCATATAATGCATTAAGTCATTATTTAATATATGTTCTCTATGATTAATTCAAAATTATTAATTCGAAATATCCATTTAATATTATCAATTTATAATTAAATGACATATGAATCTCTGTTCTGAAATAGTACATCTCATGACATCGCGATAAAAAATTTCAATTCAATAATTTTTCTTATTTTTTGGAGTAAATTATTAAAATTAAAATTTGAAAAAAATGTTTATTTTATTATGTCTGTCTTTAAATTTCGTGGCGCAAATGTGTATCGCTCGCGTTTGAACTCGACAATAATTAACTCAATGTCCGATACGTCAATGTCGATAGGAAGTGGAAGAAATTTGGTCTTTGCAACGTGACATTTTGCAAGTTTGCCGCGAGTAGGGTTCACCATAAGTCGAGGAAAATCGCAATACGCTCTTATTGGCGTGGTCTCGTTCGTAAGGACAACATTCTATTCGCGCTGGACTTTCTATTTGCATTCTCTGTCACAAGTGTGAGAATCGATTCGAGTTTAATGCGTTCCGCGACTCGATCTATTCAGGAAATGTGTATCAAATCGTATCATCAGAGAAAGAAACGCTCGTACACGTCATTTTCGTCGGGATGTCACAGCCATTCATAATCTTTTTTAATTATAGATTTTTTTAATACAAATAAAACTAATTTTTCCTTAAACAAATTTCTACCGCGAGAAAATGTTCAAGCAAAATTAATTTGGAATTAATTAGATAATTTTTATATTTTTAATTTTTTTTAAGTTATTGATTCTGCTTGATGTTGAAGTAATGTTTTAACAGAAAAATATCGAGTTACAAATTGATCACTTTGCAATTACTGTACAATTCATATTCCCCCGTAAAATACAATTCGATTGCATATTTTGGAAAGTTTTCGTAATCATCGGCATGACTTAATCGATGATTTCGTGATTTAATCGCAGTCACGTCTTTGCTACAATGGGCTCGAAGCGGCGGTTGTCTACTCTCATATTGTAAATAATACTTGTTAGCTTTAAGGCATAGCGGCTATTTAGCAATTCATACGCATACTATTGCGCATAAATCTTCGTAAAGAGGAGTCTTACGTTACAGTTGTTTTCTTTTTGTATTATTTGAGAACATAATCGAAAGAAAAATATCACTGCGAAAGTTTGCTGCGTTGTTACTTTATTTTCCCGCTCTTCCCATCAGTATCATTTACTTTCGCTCGTTGAAATATATATACACTGCACGAGACTGAAACATCAGCACGCACGAATAAAGATTGAAATAGACGCATTGAATGTGTATGTTTAATAAAATCACAACCGTGGCAAACATTCGCAATAAAATGCGATCTACATTATTTCCGCATTCCGTAAATCTACATTTAATAAAAAGAAAAAATAACCGGCATATAATAATCAAGAATTCATTATGCATGTCGTAATTATAGCGCATCAATATTTCATATTTTGATACTAAATAACATGAAAAAGAGAAAATACATTTATTTAATATTTGATCATTAAAGCTATACTATTATATTTTAATTTGGTGTTCTATCGAAAATCTCAATTATATATTATCTTCAGAAAATTCGCTCATTAGGTACATTTTAAGAGAAATAATTACAAAGAAATTTTTTTATAATAATAATTGTATAAATTTAAAATAATTAAGCTTTTCTTTAAAAATCTTACAATTTTTTAATAAGATTTCAAGATTTTTGATCATTTTTATATTTGTATGAATGAGATGTTATTCCGCACGATTTGTTCCAAAACAGATATGTTAGTTTACAGACACTATTAGACACGCAGCAATTCTTATGAAGCGAATAAAATAGGTTCATTCTAACAAACCGTCAGTTTTTCGTGCCGCGGCTGAATCACGCGCGGTCAGGAATCGCTTCCGCGAGAAGAAATTAGAAAAGTGGAAAAGGCAACGTCGTCGTGCACTATGTACATAAATGTCGTTACGTCATGAACGAACGGCTACATGTTATCCACCTGCGGCGTTTTCTCCGCTCCGATTATAAACCACGTGCCGTCGTGAAATCGCAATCGGCGCTCATAAATCCAGACGAGATTGTTAACGCGTGTCAATATCCCGCAAGTGATTCTCGATAAAAAAAATATTTAGGCGCATGAGTTACGAAAATAGAGATCTTGATTGCTGTTTTTTTTTGTTCGAAAATGCTTTCATTATTCATCCACGTCATTCCATCTAACTTACCTTTTTTGAAAACGATTGAAGGATTTCTGAAAAGGTCAGATATAGATTAGGTCGTATCTTTTTTATATATAAATATATATATTATATATATAATTATATACTCGTCACCTTGCATATCTAATCAACATCGATATGCATAATGTATGATGTTAGTTTCACTTGAAAGGTAATCTTAATGAAATGTCAATTTTACTGCAAAGCATTTCAAACTGCAAGATTTGCGTTTCGTTGCATGCTTTCATAATGTTGTTAATGATAAATGTAAAACTTTTATGGCAACTTAAATATATAATAAATATTAAATCGCACAACGAAATTGATACTTTAATAAAGGATATCCATTATCCGGCGTACTCGATTTTGCGAGTAAAAGTGGATTATAAGCGCCTAAGTGAAAGTCATTGAAAATGAAAGGGTCGAGCGAAGTGTTAAATTAAACCACGCCAGACTTATATACATGTGTGTGATTGACTGTAGCTAAATATATTATCTAATTTTTGAAGCATACGCGTGATGGATATAATCACGAAGGTAAATTGAATCGATGATTTATTTTCAGTATTGTATCGACAAGCTGTATCATGCTCCATTAAATGACTCGTAGAATAGCTAAACTTTCATTGCAAAATCCACACAATTATATCGGAAAACAAAAACAAAGTTTAGAATATTCTAAATCGAGATTTAGGCTTTCCTACCTTTATTGATATGTAATTAAATATAAATGAATAACTTCATAAAGTAATATTGAAAACAAATATTGCTACATTTTTTATTCATGCTGAGGTCTCTTTAAACTGTTATAACGAGATATGCAACCTTGAGCTCAATGTCAGTGAACCGTAATAATATAGTTTACGGTTTATTTATCGTTTTGTGGTTAACACAAGACGCAGATTGTTAGCGAAAGTTTCACTGCTGCTTTCTAAACAGCTGTTCTTCGTTTTGCCGGTAGAAGATGAGCGAGACAATTGCTATCGTTTAACAAACGACTGCGTTATCTCTACAATCATAAGCAACCTCTGTGTTTTATGAGAATTCATAAACCATTCCCGCAACTATGTAATTGCCATAAATAGTACTTTACTTAGTCGAGTGAATGATAAATTAGTCAACATAAAAAGAAATGTGTATCGCGCAATAAAGTTTCTCGATAAAAAATGCAAATTTAAGATCTTTTTTATTCTTTAAGATTAAATAATTCCATCATATTTATCAATAAAAATTATAATTTGACATAAAAATAAATTTACAAATTTATCATTAATATCTATTTAATGAAAACATTGTTTGAAATTTTTATTATAAAATTATATTAACAAAAATATTCATATATTATATGTTATATATATATATATATTCTTTAAAATAAAATATAGATAAAATTTTATATAAAAATGTACTAATAAAATAAATATTATACTTTGGAGGTAAATTCTCTTAATAGTTATCCAATACAGAGAATAATATATAGTCGTTTGAAACGTGTAACAGTTGGACAGGTGGATGTGTCATTAGCAAGTGTCAACGCGCTTCAATACGCGAAATGGCAAAATGGAGAATACAGGAGATAGCGCAATATCCTCTATCCTACATGATAAATGTCAGAAGGATGTGACAATCATTCCGTTTTGCCATTCTCGCGGCAGATATAAATACGTAAAGATTGACATAACGGTGACGTTTATATCACTTATTGTTAGATGCGCTATGCGCCCGACGTGACGCTTTTAGCTCGCGAGAGAACCGGTACAAAGATGACAATTGCGGCGCAATCTCCTCTGAAGTAATCTAATTACAATAATTTCGCTTCGCTTTCATTATATAGGTACGCGAAGTCAGTTCCTCATGCTTGCGTCCGCGGAAAGAAGACGAACAATATGATCGTTAACGGCGATAATATTAATATACCTCTATCTCTGAAGAATCTGTCGTAATTATGTTATATGATATCTCCTATTACTTAGCATGCAACCCAACACCAATATATAATCATTATCATTTATTTAGTAGTGAAAACAATTTCTAATTAAATTTGCGATCTAAGTTTTCTCAAGACATACATTGCACTTTTTAAATTATGAATTACGCCACTATTAATCAAAGCATTGATCCTATTAGATATAAGAAAATGCATTTTTTAATCTTTACTTCCAAGTTTTATTTTTATTTTCTAGAAGTTATATATAGACACACTTAACGGAAATCGTAATTTATATGATTCGATGTGTATCGGTAATCAATCATGTAAAAAAAAAAAATACTTAATGCTTCTTTTTTCTACGTTACAGCGTAGTTCCTGATGCATTTCATCACGCTGTGCAATGCCGTACGGAAGGCAGTATATATACGAGGCGTTGCACGTCACAACATCAATGAGTCATTACTGACACGTAAGAACTAGTTCATTACAAATGATAAAATATGTATTTAGGATGAGAAAACAGTTTGCAATGACTTAGTACTCCTTCGGCTATGTAGAAGTAATGAGTCTACAAATTATAAAAGGATGCGTGATTCGCACGCATGATAAAATAGGTATAAAAAAATCAATTCTCAGAAATACATGGCTCTTTACACTATCTCGTTGATGCTGTAATTAGTCTCTATAGAAATGTAAATGATAGAATTTAAGATTAAAGTATTTTACAAATTATAAAAAGAGAACATAATCATAAATTCATATTATTATATAATTGTGTGAAAAAAATTTTATTTATCTAGAATATATTTCTCGTAGAATCTTTAACAATTTAAAAATAAATTCATCATTTGCATTTACAAAGTCACATTCTAATATTTGTATTATGTATATCTTAATATTGATTTATTTGAATTAAAGTGCGTTTCGCAATTCATTCGCGGTACGTTTCGGCATGTTCATATTACAATTACATATTACATAATAAGAAATGACATGATTTCAGTGAATTTTCAGCATTGTTGGTAGCCGAAAACGAACTACGAATCTGTGGTTTCCACGGCCATAATGTGAGACCTTTCATATGTAACGATGTAGGCGTGTCAGGTCGAAATATTACCGAGGTAATATGTAACTGGTGATTGCGATACAATTAACTCTGTACCCACTACTTACTTCCAAAGAAATTCTATCACGCAATTGTTTAATTATTTTAAAATAGCTTATAAAAAATAGATTAAAAAATTATAATAGATTAATAAATTATAAATTTAATATAAAATTATAATTTTTTCAAGATTTTAAATATCTTTAAGATATAAATGCATATCTCAATTTGTAATAATTAAAATGCTTTGTACTTGCAGCTTCAAAGTAAAAATATTACATTAAAAAACAACTATTAATAATAGTTTCCAATGTACTAGAAATTGATTCTGTTTTAACAAGAATTTACCGAGAAGCCCAATTAACGTTATACAACGTTATACAATGAAAAGTACAGTGTTTTGGTGAATTAAGCTTCAAAAGCGTAAATAAATAACGAGATCTGATTTTTCGTTCAATTTCAAACGTATTTTGCTGCGATAGAAATTCAGTTTGAGACTCGACTATCAAGTTAACGACTATTACGTTAATCCCACGATTAACAATGATGAAATCGCTTCCAACAAACATGTAAAAAAACATCTTAGGTAATACTTTATCAATTAAATAGTTGAGTGGATAAATGCGTTAAGAAGAGATCGCCTACGGTTCTGTCAAGCAATTAGTAGAGAAAGTACGAATAGCTCCCGACGCATCCCGGACGCTTTTCCCGGATATCCTGCATATTTTATTACTTAGATTTCAATGGACCCATCGACTTGCGCTCGCGCAAACCCTATATGGGGCCCCGGAGGAGAAATAACAATTCCTTCGCAGAGAGGAAACGGCGCGACGCGAGGCAAGATGGACAACCGATACGTCCACGAACACACGAGGCATATCAAGGTGGCATCAAAAAAGTGAATACGAAACGCGGAGGAAATTGCATGATGTAATAATTGTCCTGTGGGAGTGCCTAGAGTGGAGCGAATACCACAATACACCGAGTGTTGCACACTCTCTATGGGAACTATTGTTACAGATTTTACAGTTCTACCACTGTGTGGTAGACTATCTTGCCCCGCTCGTCAACTCCCACGTGGCTTTCACTCGCGTGTCCCCGCGAAACCGAACTTCTTCGCATATATGTGTCCCATTCCGTCAGGACGACGGCGCTTCCGCTCCTTCGCGCCGTCATTATCGGCGGCACTTTCTTTCTACGCTCTTATGCACAAGGCGTGTGACTTTTCAGACCTCTAACAGAGTATGTGACAAACTCGAGTCTTAGTCGCGCAAGCGAGAAAAATGTGTAATTTACTTGTAGAGCAAAGAACTTCGTAACATCGCTAGTTTATGTCAGTGTGAGACTGACAACTTGCGTATATTTTAGTGGGAAAGAAGGAACATTTTCCATGTAGTAATCAAATTGGAGCCAGCGTAAAATATAAAATTTAAATGTTGATCAAGCTGATCAGCTGATTTTCCTTAACAAAGACAAAAGAGTAGCTGATTGTCGACTTTTTCAATTCGCGTAGCAGTCTATCACATCCAACGACATATATTTCCCGTCTTTCAAATGATCCTGCATTGATGCAATTCCTCGTGACGAGAGAGAACTCGTAATCGAGATGAGTAAACACAACCGCGGTAGCTTTATTGTCATGTATTTTCTGCCGAAGCGCGCGATGTCTTCCGTTTTTTGCTACCGCCGTCCAAGATAGAGCTGTCATTTCGTATTCCAGCGTCATAATGAACGTTTAGGGGTCATCAAGGTTGAACGTGGCGGCGCGACGCAACGCGCCGTGGAAGGGGCGCGGCGGTGGTTGCCTATTGTGTCACCCTATATATAACGGCACCCGACACCCCACGCGGTATTAAGAACATTCACCGCATCCGCGGTAACATGGTTTCCAGTTCCAGCAAGGTATATTCACCGTGCATTATACCGAGCGGCCGCGAGTGCGCGAAGTACACGTTTATTGTGTATACGCGAGGCGATCGATTTCAATCGCCATGAATTGAATTAAATTAAATCGATCTCTCGCTCGATCTCTTAATGTCCCGGTGATTTTTCGCGAAACCGATATTGCGGGAAAGTGTACGTTCGTGGGAAAGTGCGCACTTCGGCGAACGACTGCGCGTTTCACGTTTGACGTTTCGCCCGGTTATGGTCAAGATTTATTCTCAACCTTAGGCGATGCATTTAAATAGCGAGAAAAATGCCGTGGAGTGACAAGTGTATTTTGTGTATTAAGGAAGTATTTTACGTGAACGAAAGAATTAAAAATATAAATGATTCTTTTTTAAATCGCGCGAAAATTTGAGTTTGACGTTTCGAAATTCGTTTATTCGATGCTTTATCAAAATTTTTAGTATCTTCCGCTTTTTCGTGATAATGCGTCGTATCTATTTTCGCATGATTTCTCACGGTGAAAAATCACATTTTGCTTTTAAGATGACGCCATGGCTGATGGCATTCTTTTGTCTGGCGACAGCCAGCTGTTCCAACGTCACGGACCAGCAAACGTCGGAAACTCAGCATGATCATCAAGTGGCGATCTTGAAGCAGATCAGGAAGGTGAATGAAGACGGATCTTACACGTATGGTTACGAAGCCGGCGATGGATCATTCAAGGTAATTATGTGCGTGATTACTTCAGAGCATCATAATGTCGACCGCGCCTATCGACTTTTTCTTAAGGAATCGTATCGCTTTAAAAGTTCCCACAGTATTGAACACTAATTATTCACGGAGATTTCTTTTTCTGATTTCATTTAATAGTAATGTTATGGTGTGCACGCAATGCCGCAGACAATGTTAATGCCATTCCAATGTCAATAGCAATTGATTGAAACTTTCTAATTGCCTTTTTCATTATTTTACATATAGATCTTGTTATACAATATATTTTCAATTTACTTATTTTTATCTCTAATAAAATTTATAATTTTACTAAGAGTATAAAAAATAGATGTAGAAACAATGTTCCTTGAAATAAGATAACTTTTGAAATAATGATTTAGGTAATCTTTAATTATCATCTAATATAATGTACGAGATAACTTATTATATATAATTTATCTCGACTTTATGATTATATCCCGATGTGTGCGTTAATAATGAAAAATTTCGTTTATTCCTCAAGATGCGGATACTTGAAAAAAATCGCTAATTGACTTTCGCGAAAATTTGAACGGCAAACTTACTTTGTTAGGTCGAGAGTCGCGACGTTCTGGGCAACGTTAAAGGCACGTTCGGCTTCGTCGACGCCGACGGCGAGATAAAGAGGGTCTCGTATTCCTCGTCGAACGGGACGGGCTTTAAAGCAACCACCATGTCACCATTGCAGGAACACGTGTCGGTCGTGCAGAGCATACCGCGTGTCAATCGTACATTAGCTACTTCTACGAAGAAGCCGAGCATCGTGTACGCCACGACGACGGAGGGTTCGACCAAGTCGTCGGTTGTACAGTCGATTCCTCGAACGAGGAAGACGACCACCAGTACCACCACGACGCCGACGACGACAAGCACCACTACGGAGGCTCCAAAAGCGATACTCGGGCAATACTTGAAAGGGACGTTAAAGAACAGGCCGCGTTTTATCATCAACGGCCAGCAGAGACCGATCGTGATAGAGGAGACAACCGACGAAGACTCGCAAATAAATCGACCTAGTACAGACGACAAAACTGGCGCTTACAGACGAATCATTTTCGCCAAGCGACCGATTGAGCACAATCTGCCGCCGATATCCGAGGACTTTGTGGACAAGGAAGACGAAGGCAAGATTACAACCGGAAACAGTCTGAGGAGACAATTACACGACGAGACCAGCAAGTCAAGTGCAGACAATAACGACGATCATTCCGACGTTTACGGCGGATCCTTGTCAACTACGCGACCTCTGTTCACCACTTCCGCTCCGCCACGGGTCATCCAGAGAGTCTCAAGCACTCCGCGTCCGGATCGACCGAAGATCTATGTTAATCGAGACAATCTGGGAGCGGCCGGTCGATTCGACAACCCGAAATACGAGGATTCCAGGATCTACGAGACCGAGACGACGAAGCCTACTCAAGAAGAGCGCACGCCTACACCGCAGCTTCTGCTTCGCACTTCCACCGCTCGAGTTCCACCTTCGGAAAATCGAGAATTTCTCAGACAGACGACGGAGCCTGTCTTCGTGAGACCGCCACCCGAGCAATACCTGCGGGAGTTGCCGCCTAGATTACTCGTACAGTCTCAACAACAGGGCAACCTCGAGGAGGACAATGTCTACCGAGCGATACCGATCGGCAGAATCTTGTTCCGGCCGCCTGCCAACCAGTCACCGATCTACTCGAGCACGACGGACGCCAACGTTCACTATCTGACGGAGAGTCCCGAGCCCAATCAAGAGGACCAGCCTCGAATCGCGATGAACGGGAATTATGTGCGCGCGCGTCCCATGATGCGACCGCTGATCTATTCGGAAACCGAGCAGAGACGACCCGCGCTTTTGCGACCGATTCCAGGTCCGATTCATCCTGATGACAGAGATTATCAGGCGACCACGCCGGAGTATCCTTACAGACCCGGTGCGCTGGCGCTGCCACCTGAACCGCCAAATCCGATTACGCCACCTCTGAGTCGACGAGACTTCCAGACATTGCTGAGGAGGCTGCTGGTGAGCCAGTACGGCGTGCAAGCTCTGTCCTATCCGAAGAGTTACCTCGAGGACGCTTTGTACGATCAACAGCCCTATCCGTCATATCCGGCGGGTTACCAGGCGCCACTTCCGAGACCGGAATTGCCGTACGATCAGCAGGCGCAATATGGCGAACGAGTGCCTCTAAGACGTCCGCTGTACCCTCGTGCTCTGAATCCGGCCTATCATTACGACGACTATCAGGACGGCAGATACTCCAAGAGAGTATATAGGCAGAAATTCTACGCGCAGGACGTAGCGGATGACAACGACGAGGTTCTTCCAGCAGCCATCAGAGAAGCCTTGCTGCTGAGAATGGTGAATCTGGCGATCAACGCGGAACGATCGACGATGATGCCGACGACCGTGCTGTCCTCCACCACGACGCCGACGTCGAGGTACAGAAAGACGGGCCCGATCAGGAGTGTGCAGATCATCACGGACGATGAGGAAGAGAAGGAGATGAGAAAAAAGATGTAACGACGACGAGTAGCGTAGAAATAGTTAGGAACTCCGTCCGCAAAGAAGTAGTTGTTGCAGGTAAAAAAAAAGAAGAAAAAATACGAGATAAATTATTGTAGAGTTTTAACTATAGTGTTTTGTTATAATTTTTTTTATAAGACGAGACAAACTTAATCAAGGTCAACGAGCAACCGCAAGTATGCTCTCTCTTGCAGCAATCTTTAAATACTACTTACTCTTGCTAGGCATTACTAAATATCCTGGAAAGGTATCGCGAATTCTCACGGTAAGCATGTTTAAGCATGACGAAGCGGCTTACGTTATTAAAGGTAGAGGATTTTTTTTCGGTTGTAGGAAATGAACGGATATGTCCATCCGCGTGTAAGGACCAATATTGCACACGAAAGTCGCACATTTGTGTCGTTAATGAATCGGATCGGTTTCATTTCACCGAAAGAGAAATCGTCGCCGATTTTCTGCACGATAGCTTTCCTAATGTTCGCCAAAACGCATATTTATTTCTACTGAAATCGATGCATCAGCGTAAGTATATGTATATTCGATTAAGAAATTTGTTGTGAAATAATTGAATTTTTTTCTCACATATATATCATTTTTTTATCGCCTAAATTTATCGCGAAATTTCATTTCTCACACGCTGCTGATTTGCTTGCAAAATTATACTATTTAATAATAAAGAAAGAACAATAGAATGACGAAATTGATGCAAACTACCTCCAAGATTGTAATTTACACTGATATAATGATATTGTAAACATTGCAGCATAAGTTTGTTGACATTAATTCAATCACAAAACAAGAAGAAATATATATCGATCAATAAAATCGCTGATGCGTCTCTACTTAAACAGGTTAATTAAAAAAAAATCTCACGATTAAAACGTAAGAACAGCATCTGCGAAAGCGTTATTAGCTCCTAAGACATCTCTAGCGTATTCACTACTTACTGACTGTAAATACGGCATTACGTAAGAGAGACTAGTGTGATATATACGCATCGCGAAATAAAGAAAGAGTCAGAGAGACGGTAGACGAGGAGTTGTGTGAGAACTCATTTCATAAGTCCCTGAGAGTCGGCGCTAACCGGGAAAGAATAGTAAAGTAACGCGTCTACTGTCGGTAATTAGCGTCGCGGATTGCGAGACTCTCGTGCCCCGGTCGGAGATCTGCACAACAACAAAGTTGCACAGTCTCGGGGGAATATATATATATACAATATATATTATATACAGAGTCGTGGACGGGGATCATGGGATCTCGAAGTGCGGTTTCCATGCATTCGGACTGTTGTCCGCGTGTTGTCCGCGGGCGAATTCTTCGTTCGCAAAAGCGTTACGTATGACACGTCACGAATATCTCACGCGTATCACGGCAGAAAGCCGTGAAGCGGAACAATCCGACATATGTTCGATTGGTCCATTTGTCGTGGATGCGGAAAAAGCGAGTCAATTCGAGAAAAAAAAAACATTAAAGAGATCAATTTTATTAATAGCACGGTGAAGTATTAAAGTATAACTCGATAATCATATATAAGCGTATGAGCGAATTATCACAAATAAATTTAGTTTAATAATTATTAAAATAATTATTTTTTCATTTAAATATAATTTTTTATTTCAATAATTTTCGAATGCGAGTATCACGAATAATTTTATCGATATTGTATCACAGAACAGAAAAAAAAATCTAGATAAATTATTTCAAGTTTATTCCTGAGTTTCGCTTAAAAATATATTTCTGTAAAAATATAGTGCGCGTTCCAGTTATTAATAAATAAAATCGAACATGCCTGAATAATCGTCGAGCCAATATTATATATTGCGCTTACGGGACACGTTCGAGAATGTAATTAAACGAGTTTTGCGTATAACAAGTGAAACAAACGAATGTAAAAAAATAAAAGCGCAAAGTACATATATACATATATCTAAATTCACGGTGAATGGCAGGTCATTTTCCGCGGTTACCTAAATAGCGATTTCGATTTTTTTCGCGCGCGCTCGCGCCGGATATGCACGCGTGCATGTGAAAGGCCCGACGTTTGTCGTTAGAACGCGAGGACACTCGTTGAAACGGACAGTGATCTTACACACGTCTTCCGGTATTCCGTGCACGCCGGTAAAATACAGTGGCGTAGACGCGGTCTCCTAGATATAGAATCAAAGCGATCGCGATAGGGATAATTGGAGCGCGATCGTCGCATCCGCGTCGGCTTGTCTCTCGTTCTTTCTCCGGAGGAGATAGAAAGCCGAGGGGCTTACACGATGTCTCACAGAACGGAACAAAACGTGTGCGTAATGCATGCATTTGTATGCAACACAGTTGAGAAATAGCGCACGTGGAGAAAATCACGGCGATGCATTCTGATGAAGCGAGGCTGCTACAACAATAGTCGAAAGTAAATAATCTGAGACAAAAAAAAAGGACAACACTTACTTGATACTCTCGTTGAATTTCTAGCTCGCCGTTGGTGTTCTTACCCGACTTTCCATGAGTCGGCGAATTTACTCATTATTATTCATGGCATCGTTTCGCAATGATTTTATCTCTAGAGACAACGTTCTCAAAACGTTTCACTAAATCAGAGACAATTTTGAACAAAAAGATCATTGTCTGGAAGAAAGTAGATCCGCCTACAGATTTTACAGGGATAAAAATCAGACAGGCCTTTGGGATAGATCTCTTTTTATTATCTTATTCTTCGAGGACACAATGTGTTTTAATCGTATAAATATATAATATTCTTACTCTTAAATCCTTATATACATTAATTCTCGTTTATTGTACAATTTTCTCTATCGCGATAGAAAAAAAGAATGCGAAGCGACAAAACGAAATCTTTGGCGTAAGATGAAGAGGCGCGCAAAAAAATGGCGAAGAGAATTTCTACGCGGACGATCGCATCTAATTCAATTAGAGGTCACCGAGATCTTGGAATGAATAGACGCGGAGCGAGGAACGTTCTTTAGACTCTCGACGTCATCCTCCAGCGCGTAGGGCCCGTAAGGCTCGGTCTGCACGCCCACGTCTTCGTGATCGAGCTCGAGGGCGTCCTGCTCGTAGATTGCGTCGTGACTTCGCGGTCTCGGCACCGATGGGATCCACGGTTGCGGAACGCCTTTGCCGAGCGCGAGAAAAACCGCAGCGGTCGTTAACAAGACGACGGATGCGACGCCAAATACCAATCGCCAAGAGCCAGCGATCTAAAACAAACCGAAAGACACCGTTCTGCCTTCGCAATTATCCGTCGTCATTTGCGTTAGAATCTGAATAAGGCGACAGGATTGCAGAAGCAAATCGCGACTAGTTAAACATCCCAATTTCATCTCAATATTGCGATATTTCAGCTTCCCATTTTCACTCGATGGGGACAAAAGAAATATAAGAAATGCTCGTTATGCAATTTCCCAAGATTTGCGTAATATACACAATCGAAAGAAATCTTTCGGTGAAGAGATTCTATTTTTATCTTTATATTCGAAAGTGTAATAAATTAATATAACCAGAAAAAAAGAAACGATTCAACGCTAATTTCTTCTTACGCAATCCGACTTCCTACTTCGCGGACGGCAAAACTATTTGGCGCGTTACGTTTACGCGAACGGATGGCGCGCGCGTGTCACGTCCGGTGTAATAATGCGACTTACGGAGCCGTGAAGAGCCTGGGTGACGAAGTAATTGGCGGCCAGCAATCCGGCGGCGCCCAACGTGGAGCAGAGAGCGCACGCGGCCGCGGCGCACGCCGGCGATTCCGCAGGTGCGAGATCCGCTATGGCCGCGAGTGCACCAGCCGGTGCGGTACCGGAAACGAGGAGGGCGGCTATCCCCAGCCAAGCGGCGCCCAGGGCCTGACATCCGGCGTAACCGGCGACGAAAAGGAGAGCCGCGGGGATGAAGTGCGCTGATCGCATTTGTTTATTATTATTATAAAAAATGGTAATAATTCAATCGACCAATTCTGGCAAATAATTAAATTTATTGAATTTTCACAACGTTTTTAATAATATTAATAATATTAATTTTAATAATATTAATTATAATAAAATTTTAATAATATTAATTATTAGAATACTTTTATATATTTTATTATTTTTATATAATATTTATTTTTCTAATAATTAATATTATATATTATAGCACTTGATAAGGGCCGAAACCCACGGCCGAAACGTTGTGAAAATTCAATAAATTTAATTATTTGCCAGAATTGGTCGATTGAATTATTACCATTTTTTAATTATCATCTGGTGACTTCATAGTTTTATATCATTTATTATTATTATATTAGAATATTAAGGTATCAGATATATATGTATAATTTTTCATATTAAATTTAAATTAGAATGCTTTTTCATTCAGAATTTGCGTTGAGAAAAAGGAAAATTATCGCTAAATTTACTTGATAATTTAAAAATTCTTGCACGCGTTTCGCAGCGTTGCAGATACACAACGTCATTTACAGAGGTACATATATAACACACCTGTGTAGACGACTAACTTTCTCGCCGTGGTCGTGGATACTATTTTAGACTCGCGAACGTGATCCACCAGTAGACCGCAGGTCAGCGCAGCCATGAAGTGACCGATGTGAGGTAACGTGGTCAGAACCGAGTCCTGAATTGGATCACAACTTATTGTTAGTAGTAAACAGACGAGAGCCCGTTATTGCGTCTTGCAGCTGTTCCGCAATATCGATCGGTTACGAAACTGAACCTCTGACTCTCGTGCCGTTATATAATTACGTATAGTAATATAAAATTTATACATCTCTTCTCTATTTTTCTTACATTCTTTCATACTTTTATAGCCTCGTCCGTTAACGAGCGAAAAAAACATTTTATAATAATGATAATCGCACGAAATCCCAGCCAACTTACGTTAGCTGTAGAGAAACCATATATGAGCTTCAGGTACTTCGTCATGCCAAGAGCGAGAGTCGCGTCGCCCCATTGATTACCCATAGTCGCCACCGCGGACGCCCAGACGGGTACAGATCTCAGTAGCTTTCCCCATGGTATCACAGCCGCCTGTGATTATCAGCACGTAATTTTATACATACATACAGATATGTAACATCACGTCCGGAAATTATCTCGTACACGTGCATGCAAATCTTAAGTAAACGTTACAACAGTATATTATATTATAAATTTATCGCGGATTCTGAGAATAATTTCTAGAGTCTGTATAAAAGAGATTTTTTCAATTATCTATCCCGCAGCAATCTCTTATTATATAATATATATAAACAGCGAATTAGCTTATTCGGCAACTTCCCGTGACGCGTCAGTCCGTTAAACGACCCGGAAATGTTCGCTTACGTTTGTATCGTGTTGATAAGACCTCGGTGAATCCTTGACGAATCGACCGAAGGCGAAATACCAGCACAGTGCCAGAAGAACCAGACCGTAGCACAAAGAATCGCGGCCAAACATTCGCACCACCGCGGTGCCCAGCCATCCGGTGAGGCAATAACCTACGCTAACAGCTTAAAGAGGACGAGAATCAAGATTAGTCCGATTAACACGCAGCGCGTTCGGCGGAACGCTTGAAAAATATTCCGAAAAAAAGAGTCCATAGTATTTCTCTTTCCCTAATATGTCTTTCTTACAAAACAATACTACATGGAGATCGGAGATCTCTTATTACACTCATCCCACACTCGTTACTTCTCATTTAAAAAACCGCTTGCTTATTCCCAACCACAAACATACCCGCATAACAACTGAAGAACCAGCTTCTGTGATGACTTTTAAACCACGTCATAGCTAGCATGTGAGCAGCAGGCATGGTTGCGCCCTGCAAAAGACAGGATGTCGCAATCATTTCACATTTGCGTGCCGTGTTTTACGATAATATGCATATTGCGCGAAACCTCGCGTCTAAAGAGATGACGTCAAGATCCGACTTACGGTGCATAATCCTTGAACTAAACGAAGCGCAACGTGCGACGGTCCGCGCCAGGCGGCGGGAATTAACAGAGACACTAAACAGGCACTGAGGACCGCGCGTGAGAACACCATGGAGGGCCCGGAGCGACCCCATACCAAGCAACCTCCGAGAATCGGACCGGCGACCTGTCCCCATAAGAACGCCTCGCGCATGTTCGATTCCGCTCGCTCCTCCTGCGGCAGCTGTCATTCATAATATTATGAATTATAAACGTCTCTGTCATATTATCAAGCATTTCTATTCTCCGGAATATTACATACATCTCCTCCTTGAGATTGCCTTGAGAAAAAATTTAACAATTAAAGTGAACGAACCAGAAGCACAAAATGTATGTTTGCGTCGATAAATAAAAATTTAACAAAAAAATAAAATAGTGGAATATTTTATCAAGCACAAAATGCTTGAGAGAATATATATATACCTCCATAAATATAATTTCGAAGTCCTCGGTGCGATTACGGCTGGTGATATTGACCAGCATATCACAGTGCCAAGACGTATCGATGATGGCATGATTGTCTTTCTGATTCGCCAGCAATGCGACCGAGGAACTGACTTCTACCGCGCCGCAAAGCGCGAATCCAACTGCGACTAACGCGGCAACGATATGTCGCGCCCGTACAGCCGCTTAAGAATAACAATATAATTAAGTAACACGTCATAATACTCGCGATTATTTCGAGCATATCACTGGTAAGCTTGAATTTTCTCATCATTAAATTGTTATTAAAAATTATTTAACGAATTATGGGTTTGTTTTTATTGCTACGTTGGTGAACATTAGTGCAGGGACAGAAAACAAGCCTTATGACTGCGTTGATAAAAAATATAAGGCACAAATATCTTATCACATTGAATTATTAGTAAAAATGACTAAAACTTTGGATTGCGATTAAAAAATTCGAATAATTCTTTTATTGTGTTGAATTTTGTGTTTGCAAAAATTATCAAATAAAATAGTATTAAATAATAATATATCTTATAAATTATGCTCAACTGAAATTTTTACTGAATCGTATTTTTGACAAATTCAAGGTGAAATAATGGTAGCAGAAAATTTCATATACATATATGTACATTCATTATCGTGGTCTCCAAACATCCGAGCACGACAATATTTGATTTTGATAACTTACTCAAATGGCTGGTACAATATCTGCGTATCAAGTCTAAACTTAAGAAGCATTTAAGACTAATTTTTTTAACGTCTAAAAAATAATATTAAAATGTATGCATCACAGAATGACGTGAAAATGGCCGTAATTATATTACATTGAATAAATTAATGTAAAACTGTATATGATACAGCGAGAATTATTTAAAGTTTGACAGAACGAGAAATAAAATAAATCTCACACGATAAGAGATATAAAATTGATTGTAATAATTAAAATTTATTGTAATTATTAAAATTAATTATAATGATTAAAATTAACAAACCTCGAACCTCTTGAGCAGCGAGTTTTAATTGACAACTACCATGTTTAACGAACTGCACGCTACCTCTTTTAACGAAGTCTGCCATCTCACAGAACTAAAAAATAATGAGATCTACGCGACATCTCGCTCTTATCACTTCCAGTGTTTGATTCTTCGCGCACTATCTCTCCACTACTCCAAATATATTTCAGGTGACCTCGACTTTGGCACGACGATGATATAATGCAAATAGCTGACACTTTTAGACAATGAAGCGATCACATATTATTAATTTTTTGAATAGCAAAAATTTGCACAGTGAAAAAATAATTTTCTCAACACTGCTTCTAATACAAATTTGTTTCACAGAGAATTTGTAGAACACAATGGATGCGCAAGATTTTAATTGGGAATACTTAATAAATGAAAGAGAGTAATTTTGCTAACACAAAATTCATAATTTTAAATATAGACCGTAAGATTTTTGATACAGAAAAATCAATTACAATTAAATAATTGAATCTGACTAAAACCCATTTAATAATTCGACAATATATACCTAAAATAATTAATAAGTCAATATATGCTGTTTAATTTTATATCAAAACGTTGATTAATTATTTTCAAGTAATGCACCGAAAATTCGAAAACAAAAATATTGCCGAGGGGAAGTCGATTGAGGACACACACACGTACCTCTGACCTCGAGTGCCGCGTGTCTCAACTGGACGCTGCCGCGTTTAAGACGAACCAGCGCCGCCATATCGTCGTCAAATGAGCTCGCAAACTGACTGCGTTTCCATGATGTAGGATCGATACTTCAGGCACATATCATCGAAAAATTCACGGCTCCTTTTCGGCCACTTTTGCGCCGCGCGACGAGTAGGACGCGACAGCGAGTTACGCGAGCTATACTGATCATCTGGTGGCCGGTGCGAGTGAATGAACATCTCCGTTAACGAGACTTGATACAATAAGTACCTATGCCGGTCAGCCTTGAAGCACCGTGTGCACGAGGCGGGCCTCGCAATATTTTCCCCACACGTCGACGTGTCGAGCGATATCAACATAGATAAAGATCTCTGTGCGCATCAGTTATATATTTTGTTTAAATCCCCTGAGAGAGATGTGACGTAACAATTAACATTCATGAATTAATCAATGCATTATATTACGTGCAAACGTTATTATACGCTTGCGTAACGAGAAATATTTTTTAGAGTATATCGAAAAAGTGTATAACATATATTTAGATCCCATTTCGTATCTGTCAAAATAATATTTCATAACAATTTCACTATGATGACACATCCAAATTTCATTTTATTAAAATATATGTTCTTGATTGAATATATATTATTTTTTAAAAATCTTTCGATTAAAGAAATTTAAAAAATCACTCTTTATCTTTGATAGCTTGAGAGCTGATTCGAGTCATTATGCACGTATATCACACTATGATTAAATTAGTGTAATAAATTACTCAGAAACTGAAGCAACTATCGATAGCTGGTAACAAAGGAAACCTGGTTGAAAGCTTCTACCGCGAGTATCCCGCCTTTACGAACCTACAGACACACCATGATAATATTTAAAGACGTTGGGCCATTCACCATCCGTAGTTCACAGTCTGCGTAACCTGTAGTCGAGCAATTTTAACATCAGTCGACTATGAATTCAACAACACGAATCGGGGCCTGATCTACGAATCGTTCTGCACCAAGTCCCAGTAGGTCGCGCAGGTAGTTGGGTCCCCCTTCCCTGTTTCTAAACCTGCCACCAGCGGGGACCACAGCAGGATACCACCTGCGTGGCGATTGGTCAGTTTGCAGGCAGGTCAAACGGCAAACACGTCGATCGCTCGGAGTGTGGCTTGTCACACTTATCTGCCGCTTCGGAGCAAAGCGCGCAATTTTCGCGGTCTCGCGTTTTTCACGTCTTCATCTCGCGGCAAACGACACACGCACGTGTGACACAAACCGTCTCCGCAACGTTTCAGAGTCCCGAACGAAGAAGTGATCCCGGACGAAGAACGCGGAACGCGACGCTTTGAAGGGGAGCCTCTATAGAATCCGAGTTACGCCAGCGTCGAGGATTACTTTTCAAACAAGCGCAGGACAAAATGCGGCGTGTCAGCGCGCCCGGCTAATTTGACGTTTGCAACGTGCAGCATATTTTCTTATACAGTGGTGTGATCTTTTTCTGGGAACCTACATCGCGCAAACTGGTGACTATCGCGAAGGTGAAGACATCGAGGGAGGAGGAATTCGCGGCGCGACGAGGTGAGTGGACTCCGTTTTGATTGCGTTTTGACCGTTTGCTTTAAGGTAAAGTTAGGTATTCCGCTGGGGTCCGAACAACGAACGAACCTCTTTCCTTACGTCTTCACACACTCTCTCCTCTCTGGTTTCTCTAGTTCCAATAGCGGACGATACGGGAGAGAAAGACCAGCAAAGGGCATTCGGATCCATTCCTATCGAAAGGACTTAAAGGATCCTTTGAACGATCGGAATGCGTGCCCGCGCATCTCCTTCATCTCTTCTCCTTCTTCCACTCATCCGGATCCCTTCCCCACATCTCGTGTTCTCATCCACTCTCTCATTTCACTCTCGCCTTCGCTCCGTACCGCTCTTAAGAATTTTTGTCTTATTCGATTTGTTTTCAAGCTTAATACCTAGTTCCTTGAAGACGCAACTTTAATCTCTAACAAGCGCCTTCTTTCCTCTGTCGATCTCCCTTCTCCTAATTTATCGCGAAAACAGTTTTCCTCTCTCTGCCGCATTAGAATTATAATTCTTATTCTCGTTATTAACATTCTCGCTATTGCTACAGTTCCCGTAGTTGCAACTGCTCTGATAATTTCGCAGAAGATGCTAACGAGTTCCTCTATCTTCGACTTACATCAGCATATTTTGTAATTAATCACGGAAGATTGGCACAATAGCGAATAATGCACTATTGTATTATAAGTCCATGTATTTGACTATTAATTTTTTCAAGAATTTTTTTTTAATGTGTATGTAGGTATATACCTCGCGAGTGTTTTATAAAATTCCTTGCTCTTCTTATCCCGCGATTCTACTGTCCCTCCTCCTCTCTTTCCTTTTCTTTCCTTCCCCCTATCTTTTGGAATGCGCTTCTCGAGGATCCCGACATATTTCTGGTCGTAGGGATCATCCGTAACAGGTTCCCGAGCTAGAGTTTCGAGCTCTGTTAGAAATACGAGCGGTTTCGTTCGAGGGTCGCTATAATTGTCGACTTTCAAAAAATCAATTTTGCGCAATTTAAATAACAAGTACGAAAAACGCGGAACAAGTACGTGAGTATAAACCTGTCAAGCTAATTAATAATCTTGGGAATTTACCAACTTCCATCGTCGGTACTCTTGTGCTGGTTTACATATGAACTATAAATACTGTTATCTCTCGCTCACGTGGACATGCTCATATGATAATCCTCGAAAGTTGCCATTCATCAAAATTAACTTAATTGTATATAATAAAGTGTATTTACTTTCAAAAATAATACCGAGAGAAATAAAATTAAATATTTTTAAGATTAATACAATGAGATGTGTTCTCATATGCAATAGTATATTGCTGGATTATATTTTAATAATAAATATTAATATTTAATATTTTAATTATATTATTTTTATTATTTAATTACATTATATTATTTTAATTATTAATAATAAAATCTTATGTTAAACATTTTAATAAATCATCACTGAGACACGTTTTAAGTTGATTATTAACACATTTTCCAATCAAGAGATATATCGTTAATATTTAATAATTAAATCTATATAAATAACTTCAATCTATCCATACCTATTTATTGTAATAGAAATCAAAATATCTTGTATCAATTTTAATTGAACGAAATATTTTTAAGATTAATGCAATGAGATGTGTTCTCATGTGCAATAGTATTGCTGGATTATATTTTAATAATATAAATATTAATATTTAATATTTTAATTACATTATTTTTATTATTTAATTACATTATATTATTTTAATTAAATAATACCTAATAAAATTTTATGTTAAACATTTTAATAAATCATTACTGAGACACGTTTTAAGTTGATTATTAATACATTTTCCAATCAAGATATATCGTTAATATTTAATAATCAAATCTATATAAATAACTTCAATCTATCCATACCTATTTATTGTAATAGAAATCAAAATATCTTGTATCAATTTTAATTGAACGAATAGAAGGAAATCTTGACAGTGAATCCTTCCAATGTTTTCGCCGCATAATGCAATGTTTCCGCTTATACAAATGCATAAATCTACACAACGAAACTGTGACACGCCGAGCGGATCCGGGCGACGAAACCGGAGCAGTTTCGACGTGCGGCGACCTTACACGCGTCGTAACGCACCGTTGTCGTACGTGCTTTGAAAATCGCGCACACACGAATACCGTTGCATTAAGGTCGTTCACTCATACACCTACCTAGCTACTACCTGTCGACTGCACAGGAAGAACCGCTGGTGTTTGTGCGCGGCAAATTGCGGAAGAAAATGAATACGTTCGCGAAGAACGACGCGTGAGTGTGTGTGTGTGTGTGTGTGTGTGTGTGTTTCCTCTTTTCAGCGCGGGTCACTTTATACGATGCTCCGCTTTTTGCGAGCTTGACCGAAACTCACGTACGACGATTCCGAAGCGAAAGTTCCGAGAGATCAACTAGGAAATAGCCCAGCGAGATCATGCAACAATCTTTACGTGACATCTCGGTCCCATTGTTGATGATCACGTTTCGGACGCGCTCTACGTGCTTCGAGAAAATACGTCGCTTCAGTTATTTAATTTAGGCATAAACGTGTCATTATGATGACATGAATTGTATATTCCATTTATAAAAAAATATATTTTCGACATTCATATGAAAAAATACTTCTCTGACAATGTGCGACTTTATTGTCTGAGATAATAATACATACCGAAAAAAAAAAACAATTATTCTGTTTCAAATCTATGTCAAATTCGGAAAAAATAAAAAGCTATATGTGCAAGAAATAAGATTATGATTTTAATGAAATCGCTAAAATAATAATATATCGATTTGATTTTTAAAATGTCGATTTCTAAAGCTGCGATGCGTATAAAACACAATTACAAATAATTTCAAAGTTGTGTAATCTTGAAATTACACTGTGCACAATGTCGCGGAAATTTAACGAAAAGATCGCTCATCCTGTTCATTGGAATTGCATGTTATACAATATATTATATAATTTTAAATTTTATATAGTTTAAAGAACAGACACAATGTACCGGTATCCCTCCTTGAATATGTAATTTATGAATAAAATTATGATAATTATGAAAATATATGAGAGTGCTAGAAAGATGAAGATAATTCAAATCAATTCCACAGTTCTCTAATTTTCGGAGCACATCAAACAGAGTGAAACGCGCGCTTTCGTGTGCTTCGTACAGCATTAT